ATGTTAGGCTTGTATGCCTTGAGCTTTGAAAGTCAGGTTTAAAGCTAACAACACTAGCTCGACTTGACCTGACAGGTTGAGGTCTAATCAGGAGATAATAAGTCGAGTTGGCCGAGTTAATGTAGATCCTTAGATTTATGGGATTAAATTAAATAATGTCATCATATTTTATGGGATGTATGCAAGGGTTAGGATAGGATAATTTATTTATTTATCAAAATTATCCTTTCTTAAAGTTTATACAATTTAAATTATTAATATAGATTTTATGGGTATATTTAGACTTGTAAGTTTAATCTTATGGATTAAAAATAATCATCTCCACTGGGGGAATATTGAATCATCTTATGCTAAGAGAATGATTAATCATTCTTACAATCTTATCTCTTTGTTTAGATATAAACCAAATATGATATAAAATGATTATTATCCTATCCTCTCTATTATTTTATGTGTCAAACATGACTGAAGGGATGAAAAAGCTTCTTAAATGGAGGATTAAATTTTGCAACCCTTGATCCCAATTCTATTCCAAATAAATTTGTAATTATTGTATTGTATGCTTTTGAATTTAGTGAAAGTAGTATATTAAATGCAAAATTCATTACTTAAATAGTAATTTAACTACTTTAACCTGTGCATATAGACCTAAAAATAATTGATAACAACATTATTTTCTGTAATAAATTCAACCGCATGGCATTTTTGTTGATAACTTGACATGATAATATAAATTTTTGGACAATATTGCATACCTTAAAACAAAAAAAAAAAAATTTCAATAAAATTCAAAAAATGTTTTTTTTTATAATTTTTAAAAGGTTATTATTTAATTACAATAAAATATCTATCTATCTTATAAATAAAAGTTAACTATGTGGTCTCCTTTGTTGACACCTATCTCATGGGATGAAGTTGATATTTTTAAATTCATAAGAGGTGAATTAGGCATGTTATGACTTTTAAGACTCGATTGTTGGGTTCTCATTCCTCTTAACCACTTTAGTCATACTCCAAGCCTAAGTTAATGGTTTTTGTTTGTGATGTATAATTCCTAATATTATATTTAATTTTTTTCATATTAGTATTTTTTGTTAATTTAAAATCAAGGAGCTTAGTAAGTATATTACATAAATAAATAAAAATAAGAACTATAATAATGATAAAAAATTATTGTTAAAAAATCCTCCATTGTTGAAAAAAAATCTATTCATTTGGATTAAAAAAAATTAGAAAATGGTAAATTGAAATATTCATTTGATTGTAAGTTATTTCAATGGAATGACTTGGATTCATTTTGCTTAAACATGTATATATTTGTAAGTTATATATATTGTTAAAATAAATTTGTAAAAATATAATATCCAAGTAAACTTTCAATTTAGCTAAAAAAATAAAATAAAATTTATTTTTTTATTACATTAAATTAAAATCATAACATTAGATTATATAAGTACATATTTAAATACATTAGCAACGAAATATGTACCCATGCTACTATTCTTTTACAAATATATACCACAAAGCAAAAAGATTAGTCCATCTCCAAGTCATCTCCAATATGCAACGTTATCTAAGATGAGGACAAAATTTTAATATTGTTACCAATTGTGCTTAAATTGATTTTTAATTAAAGTTTGTAAGGATTAAATTCATTAAAAATAGGATAAATAGATTAAAGCTGAAAATTAAGATAGTAAAATGACTGAAATCAAACTTTAACTTAATATTTAAAAGAAATGTATTCATTTACGAAGCCACTTGATTTACACCTGCATGATTAAAGGATAACGTCATATCCCATTAAAGAATATTTAAAAATATTAATAAATTAATATTATAAAAGATACATGATAATTTTTAATTCCACTTTCTTTATTTTTACAAAAATAAAACTATTTATAAAGTTTGAAAATTGTATTTATTACGTCCATTTACTTGATCAATCTTAGTCAACATGATCAAACCTTCAAATTGCCTAGGGAATGCACACCAAAGTTGCTACATCATCAATGCCTAAAGAAATGGCTCACCCTTCGCCAAGGGAAAGATTTGCCTAACATCTCCACCGATATCCCATCAAGGCAACATATCAAAACTGAACACTTAACCTCCAACTTATCTAGGACTATTAAATATAGTCCGTGCCTGCTTAGGATGATTAAATGTGGCTTATAGTCATCCACGTGAATCCTTCTCAAGCTTCACATATACTTTCCATTAACTGTTAACTATCTCAATTAAATCACCACCTCTTGTCTCATAATAAGATAAAGATGAGTCCAGGTACGTAAGACAATACACATACTCCACATTTAAACATTTTCCCTCCATTGAAGCTTTCTTAATACACCTCACCATTTTCCTTGCTTTTCCTCATGTATTCCACTAATTTAAGTTAAGGTGTGCTTCTTAAAAACTAACTCTAGCATCTTTTATTGTGCTTTTTAGTTACAGGTTTAAGCTATACAACCTTTAACAACTTCACACAAACTTTCTCTAACTAACACTATGTTTGGATTGAAATGAAGGAAAGAAAAGGAAAAAAAATGAAAATAAAAAAAGTAATGGAAATAGAAAAACCATTTTTTTGTTTGAATAAACTTTTAATTTAAAGGAAAGAAAAGAGGTAGAAACTCAATAACTTTTGATTTCTCTTGTAATCCTAATTTTTTTTAATATCTCAATTTAGGAGAAGAGCTACGGAAAGAAAAGTTCGAAAAATTTTATTTTTATAAAAAGACTATTATATCTATGTTTTTATTATGACATTAGATTTGATTATATAATTAACACTTTCTACAAAAATAATTTCTTTTTTTGAGTATTTTATGCAATATAACAGTTTATAAATATTTTATGATTTTTTAATTCTTAATAACAAAATAAGCCAAATTATTGTTAGAATAAATTAAAAGATTGAATTAAACACAAAATTAAGAGTAAATAAATAACTAGCTAATATATCTTATCGTATTAAACATGCTCAATTTTGTTTAAAACGATTTATTTATACAAGCTAGGTAGTATAAAGATATATTTGTATATTATATGTTACTTTATAAAAAAATGTTATAATTGAAAAAATATTATAATAAATTATTCTTTTTCCTTTTCACTATTTATCCGAATAATAGTTATCAGAATTTTTTCTTTTCTTTCTTTTATTAATTTTAACTATCCAAATAGGAATACATATACTATTTCTTTCCTTTAAATTTTTTTCTTTTATTTTATTAATATCTATCCAAATATAGCATAAAACATCAAAAATACTATCAACATTATTGATGATATATAGGAAATAATATTCCATATATAAATATCTTTTGAGTTAAAGACTAAACTACATTTACTCCTATTTAAAAATTTGAAATTAAAAATATTTAATTTTTTTATCGTCATAAAATGATATAATATATGATTACAATTTGATATTGTATTTTAAGGATGTTAGTTCAAATTCTTAAATATAAATAAGTAAAATTACATGACAGAAAAGTTATTATCCTAATTACATAACTCAAGGATTAAAAGGGTTATAATTAATTTTTTTTATTTAATAAGAGATAAGAGATGAAAAAATATAGTGAAGTTCGAACTTTCTTCTTACATTTAAAAATTTTTTTTGTCATTATATAAAAAAAATTGAAAACCAACTAATTATTAATTAGATGAAATATATGTTGATTAAATTTTTAAAATTTATGAATTTAAAATAAATTGAGACATATAATGTTTTTCTAGTCGAGTTAAATAAGTAAGAATAGAGAATTAAATGTGAACAAGAGTTAAAAAAAACATTAAAAAACTTAACGTAAGCACGCTAAAATTAAATGAAATGTTATTAATTACAAAATTAAATTCAGAGTTACTTTACCTAACCAAAATCAATGTATGGTAAAAAAAGAACAAATCCAACATAAACTAATAAAAAAAGTTGGCCACTGAAAAGTCTAGTTCCAGACTTCCAGTTGCCAAATCAGAAGGTCTTATGGCCATTTTTAAACAGTGTCGTTTACTAAAGCGTGAACATTTCACAAGCACTTTTACCCTCAATTACCGGTAAACTTAACCTATCCCCTTTTTTGTTCTTACATATGAGCGAGAAAGACATGGTTATAGTACGCCTGTTATCACAATAAGTTTTTGTTTTTATTTTTTTTTAAAGTCTTTTTCTTCTCACTCTATAAATATCATATCCCCACGATCTTCTAAATTTTCTTTGCCTCTTCTTCCTCTTATTTTCTCTCTTTATCTTTTCGACCATTTTTCGATGAAATCGTCGGTCGTTATTCTCTCTTGGGGTTACCGGAGAATTCACTTTCTTCGACATTTTTGCTTTCTTAAGGGTTTGCTTTTTTATTTATATAAAGCTCTTTCTTTCTTTTTCGGTGTCTGGATGTTTTGATTAATTTGTTTGATGTCTTAGCTTGAGTTTCAGATCTGGGTTTTCTTTTTTTAGCTGGCTTGATTTCTATTATTTCTTTTGTTTCCTTTTTTGTTACACTCTGTTGGTTTTTTTTTTGTATGTATCTTGATCTATTCCCTTTTTTTTTTATCTTGATTTATTTTTTCTTATAGCCAAATATAATGCAGTAAATTTCTTAAAAATTTACAAAATAAATAATTTTTTAAAAAACTTGCAAATAGAAAATTACATATATATATATATAAATATAATGATGATGATTGACGTTAGTTGTTGGAAAATTCCGTCTTATCCTTCAACCATCTTGGTAATGTATGAGTAAAAGTTTTGGTTTTAAATTTATTTTTGTTTTTTTCTCCTTTACAAAAAGGAAAAGGGTTGTTGAATGGATAACAAGGCAAGGCTTTTATTTCATCAGCTTTATAGGTAGTCTTAGCATTTCAGTTCCTATATTAAGCATGTTTATTGCTATTCTGGGGTTTATGCTTTATTGTTATACAAAATATTTGGGGCTCTAATTCTTTGTTTTTTTTTTTTTTTTGAACTGTAGATCTCTTTTTCTGAAACTTGAAACTTTTGTTTTTGTGCATTAAAGACAAAGAAATGTATGGGACTAAAGAGGTGGAACATAGAAATGTGAGCTCAACTTGCTCAATCTCCAAAATGGATGATTATGATCTCTCGCGCCTTCTTGATAAGCCAAGGCTTAACATAGAGAGGCAAAGATCATTTGATGAAAGGTCAATCAGTGAGCTCTCTATTGGTCTCACAAGAGGGGGTTATGACAATTAAGACCACGTGCTTCCCCGATGGGAGGTCAGGTTTTGGTACTCCAGCTTCATCAGGTAGAAACTCTTTTGAGCCGCACCTCATGGTGGCTGAAGCATGTGAAGCTCTTAGGAGGTCTTTGGTGTATTTTCGAGGCCAACCAGTTGGTACCATTGCCGCATATGACCATGCATCTGAGGAAGTTTTGAACTATGATCAGGTAAAGTTCTCATCTCAAAGTATGAAGTAGGACCCTTTTTTGGTGATAATGAAATTATTATTGCATATATGTAAATTATAAACTATGACATTGACATTTATTATTGATTATGATCATGTGTTGAGCATCAACCTATAATTAATTGGTGATGGATGGAAAGCTTGAACCAGAATACAAGGACTAGCAAACTCTGAACTTAATTGAATGTGGGCAAACATCATTTAATACTAAATGTGGGCTAACATCATTTAATACTAAATACCTTGATCCAAGTTGGAGAACTTTGATTAGGTGAAACTTCAAGCCAAACCTGAACGAATTTTTATATGAATAGAGAATACTGATTGTCAAGGAAAAATGACATGGGGTCAGTCCGACACAGACATGACATCGACGTGGCGAATATGTGTCAGATGTCTTTGGACATACCAAACAAAAAAAAAAAATAGACACGACAAGGGAACTGCAAGGACACGGCATGGAAAGTTTTTTTTGCTTAAATTTTTCTCTAAGAAGTGAGAATTGTAAAGTCCGTCGAGAAATAAATCAGAAGTATAAAACCAAACAAGTGATAAATTTCATATCTAGATTGAAGCATCACCTTTTAATTTGTGAAGGTTGAGGAAGATGAAAGATGGAGGAGATGATAATGCCATAAACTGAAGATTGTTAATTTGTTGAAGGTTAAAGAAGATGAAGGATAGCGGAGATGTCAAAGTCATAAAGGGAAGATTGGAGAAATATCCAGGGCATAGAGATATTCAATTTCTTCTTTATCTGTTGGTCTTTTTGCTTTCTTTAGTTGTTAGTTATTATAATATGATTTCTTTACTTATTATATTGGGCCATGAATGAAGAATGGACCCATTAAGAAAGGGCTTTTTATTTGGGCAGAAATAATATGGATAATGAAACTTATTTTTGATCATCTTTGTATTGCATATTTTAATATAAGAAATATATAAAATATTTTTTATTACCGTGTGTCCGTGTCCTACCATACTCATATCTTTAGTTTTTTAAAAATTACCGTGTCCATGTGTTATTGTACTGTTTTGCCTGTCCAGTGCTTCGTAGCTGATTGTAAAAAAGAGGTTTGGTGAGTTGTTTTTAATGTTGAAAATCCATTACCATCTGGTCAATTATGGCTCATGATTTGAAATTTTCTGAGACTGCTTTGATCATGTTTGATAATTTGCTCAGGTTTTTGTTCGAAATTTTGTACCCAGTGCTCCGGCTTTTCTGATGAATGGAGAGCCTAAGAACTTTCTCTTGAAAACCCTACATCTTCAAGGGTGGGGGAAAAGAATAGATAGATTCAAGCTAGGCGAAGGTGCAATGCCAGCTAGCTTCAAAGTTCTTCACGAGCCTGTACATAAATCGGACCCAATTATTGCAGATTTTGGAGAGAGTGCCATTGGAAGAGTTGCTCCGGTTGACTCTGGGTTTTGGTGGATCATTCTGCTCCGTTCACATACAAGATCTACTGGGGGTTTATCTCTAGCTGAGACACCTGAGTGTCAAAAAGGGATGAGGCTCATACTTACTCTGTGTCTATCGGAAGAATTTGATACATTTCCAGCCCTACTTTGCGCTGATGGGTGCTCTATGATTGATCGAAGAATGGTAAGCTATTCTTCTAGTCTTAATCTTTCTCTCTATTTTGTGCATGTGTGTGTGCTCACCTGCTTCTATACGTAAGTTTCCTTGCTAATCTTATAGTTATTTTAATGTGAGACAAGCAAAGCATTTGAGAAACTTAAAATATCAAACTCTATGAAAATTGGAAAATGGATTATTAATGGAAAACATAATGGCCAATAGTAATCTGTTATTACAGCTTAGTGACAGAATGGAGCAGCATGACCTTCAGAAATCTCGGTCCTTGTTCAATTCTTGATCAGCAACATATTGCCATAAATAAGTAGATTTTTGAATGCTCAGCTCCTCCACTCTAGCCTCTACGTTTTTTCTCAAGTCATTAAGCGCCATCGCATATTCCAGCAGTTCCACCAGACCCATGTTCTCAATCGGTTGATCCAACCAAAACCCACCACTAATATCTTCTTTAACTTCTTTCTGCTTTATCAATGAATAATTACCCTGACCAGATGACTCGGCTAGATATCGATCAAGAACTGCTTCCACATTATCGTTGCTGTATACTCTTCCAGATTTTGATAATGTGAGGATACCAACTTCTACCCCGCACAATGTGGAAAGCTCTTTAGCTTTATTGAACAACCCTCTTCTACGTTTGGAGAAAGTGACTTGACGTTTGCTTTCGTCTTCCAGTTTCTTGATTTCAATTCGTTGACGACCTCGACTGCTTCTTGTTTTCTTCGCCTCTGTTACGTTTGACATTAATACACTATCCTCCATGGTGAGAAAACAGAAAATCAACCAAGGACACCAAAATTTGTACAGCACCTCTATGCGTCTTTAGTGGTTGATAAACAAAGACTGAACGCATGGGTTTATTTATACAGGTTTAACCAAGTAATAACCTAACTTGCATAACAAAAAATAAAGTAATAACCTAACTTGCATAACAAGAAATAATTTAGCTATGTGACCGACTTGCAACTTTAATTTCTTTTTATAATGAGTACTGCTATTTTAAAGATATTGAGTGAGATTATTTTTTTTTAGAAAAATTATAAAGATTAGTTACCCTATACATTTAAATTTTATGAATAGAAAAGATTTACGAATTTGTATTATTCTTCAAATCTTTATATTTTATTTTTACTCTTTAAAAAAGTTTCATGTATTTTATATCAATGCCGTATTGTTGCTAAGAAATTGTAGGATCTAGTTAGTTTGTGTTTGTCTTTTTTACTTTCATGGATATGATACTAATATCCCAAGTAAAAATTGATCGCAAGATCGCAAGATCTCAAGTATAATAAAGTTTTGAATGACATTTCATGGCAGATGTGGGATGACCAGTGGAAAAGGAGCTACAGATAAATAATTTTAATAGTTTGTGTAGCATTGTTCGCTAGGCTGTCACATGATAGAATAGACAAGAACAATGTGGCTTAGATGGTGGCGGTGATACAACTTCTGATTCTCGTTAGTTTATTATTCTAAGTCCAATTATATGTTTTAGAAATGAAACGATTTAAGAAAATGGTTCTTTTGGTTGACCGGATCCATATATTGATTGTAAGTGAAATATTAGTGAAGGTCTTCCTTCGTCCTCATCTGGTTAGTTCTAGGAAATATTTGTTAATAGACTCATTTTTGAGACAAACATGTTCTTTATGTGATTCTATAATGATGACACGACTTATGGGGTATTGTATGTTTTAGCCAAATGGGTTTCTCAGTTTTTGTCCACAAAAAGTGGCTTGTAAGTATTGTTACACTTAAGTTGTATATATTTTCTGTAGATCCTTACAAATTTCTAACGGGGAATTAAGGTGTCACATATTCATCAAGGACATGATTCGTATCTGAATTAGGAATCATATATGCCTATTGATTGTCAATTTAGGCAAGCACTTTTTTATTATTCTATTAATGTGGTTGCATTCATGCTTCCCTATAAATCTTTTTAGCTATCCTTTTCTCTATTTTTTTTTATATAAAAATGGATCTTTCTGCATTCTTCAAAATTTTCTTCTTACTTGATGACTTATGCTGATGAAATACTTAAGAAGTTAATTTGCGTTATGCACTTTATATAGACACATCATTTTGTCCGAAAATATTTTTTCGAAATTAAGCTTCAATCGTAATTGAAAGATTTTTTAGATTTAATTCCAGAATCAATTGGCATTAAAAATGATGTGGAGAGATTGTCGAAATTTAATTATATAATCAATTCACATTAAATTGATAGGGAGAGATTTTGGAATTTGATTTCAGAATCAATTTTCATTAAAACGAAAATAAAATAAAATCAAAGATTTAAGGGAAATTGATTGAGTATGAATTCCTATATAAATCTGTGATCAAAGCAAATGGGGATAGAGAGAAAAAGAGATTATGTAGAAACTCTTGAGAGAAAAGAGAAAATTTTGTTTAGTAACTAAAAGGTTTTAGGTTCTGGATTTGATTTGTTTCGATTTTCTAGAATTGAGATTCGGTGTTTTTGAGTTTGAATTTCTGTAAGCTTCTGTATTTTAGGGATTCTTGGTTTTAGCTTTATAGATAATTTGTTGGGTTTTTGAAAATTCTCTATCAGCTTTTGAGATTTATTTGTTAATTTCTGAAAATTAGTTAGAGAGAAGACAGAAGAATAATCATTTTAGAAAGAGAGGCATACTGAAATACTTTTGAAAAAAAGCTTGAAATTTGAGGCATCTAAATTTGTGTGTTTTACCATGACCCGATCGTAGGTATTTTCTTCCTATTTTCACTCCATTTTCTGTTTTGACTTTATTTTTCTTATTTTATTTATGTTATTTTGTTTATTTTTATTTACTCTTATTATTTCTTATTTTAAATTGAAAAAAATACATTACTTATTGTTGTGATTTTTTTTCTTTATGAGTTTCATTTTACTTATTTACAAAAAAAGTAAAAATAAAAAATATTTTCAAATAAATTCATGAATCATTCCAAACTATTGGAGAATTTTTATGGATTTGAATGTTACAAAATCCACCAAAATATTGAGAAATTTCATAAAATCAGTTTAAAAAAAATAAAAAATATTTTCATCCTCCAAGAGATTAAAGGATTACTTTTTAAATTAAGTCTTACCAAACTATTAGGAGACTTAATAAGATTGGCAAAATTTTTACAAATCTTTTTACAATAAAATCTCACCAAACTATTGAGAGATCTGTCTCAAAATAAGTCTTACTAAACTAGTAAGAGATTTTACTAATTTTTTGAATAAAAGTACATTAATAAATTTGACGACGAAGCCTTTTCAAAGTGGGACACTAGTCTTCATAAATACTCATGAGGTAAGAGAATTATCTTAAATTGCTACCAAACTATTGGAATAATTTTAAGATATATTTTTAATATTAAATTATCTGGTAAATCATAAATATGATCAAGGCTTGGATAATCTAAAATCCAACTGGTACAATTTTTTAGATGGGCGCTGTGGGAGTGCTATAACCTTCTCCACTTGTACCATACTCTCGAACCTAAACTCTAGTTTTCTAGATCAAAATCTACTATTTAAAGATACCTAACACTACAGCAAAATGGTGTATTAGCAGTAGTTTTGTAGTGGCCTTTCACTTACAAATGTCGCTAGCTTCCGTGTTTTTATAAAACTTCAAGTGTTTATTATCCAAACGCCACTAAATATTCAAATAACGGTGTTGTTACTTATAAATGCCATCCAAGACTTGATATTAGAGGCGTTTCTCGACTAAAACACCTTGAATATTTTTTATTAAAAGTTTCAATGAATAGTTAAGGCATATTTTTGATAGACAACGCCTTCAATAATCACGTCATAAAAAATTATATAAGATTAATGAAGGTGTTGTCTACAAGAAACGCCTTTAATATGTAGACAAAAAATTTTTGACTTATGAAATTTATTTTTTTCAAAAATTCATTCAATATTAAGCTTATCAAATCCTTTGGATCGTACAGATGTTTACCATAAGGTTGTTAGTTCGATTCGTCCTTTAGCATTTTTTTGGGTCTAGGCACAGATTATTTGTTATTGATTATTATAGGCATTTTCTTGGCAAAAATGCATTCACCATTGTTCTAGTTGTTGCTGAGGGTCGCCCAATTTATGATAACATAAAAGCTTTCATAAGTCATGTTAATTTGATCTTGTACTTTACTCTGAGCAATTAAGATATGCCTTATTTATTTATTTCCTAAATTCACAAACACATGATATCATCAAATGTTGAGAAGTAATATCCATATTCTTGACTGTTGCTCTTGGGTTACTAGAATGTATGATACTTGTGCAACTTTTATGGGCAAATTTAGTTATTGATGGTCCTTTTATGATAGCTTTTGGGTTTAATCCTCCAAATGAAGGCGTAATACAAAGCACCTCGTAAAAGTGATGATGCTCTTATTAACTCCTGGGTTCTCTTTTGTTACTTGATTTGTATTCATTAGCACTTATTATCTCCCCCTTGAAATTCATTTGACTTCATAAAAGTTAGAGCTCAAGATAGCTGTAGAGACAATGTGTGCTTTCAGAGCTTGTGAACAAAGATAATAGAGATATCAAGATAAAGTTTTCTTTTAAAATTGTTCAATATTATGTGATCAAGAGTTTGATGTATTCTTTTACTTACATTTTTCCTATCTACTTCTATATTTTTAGAAAAATAGATGTAAATAACAATATGTATTGGAACAAATTATGTATTTAGATATTTAAATATTTATAATATTCAATTTATAAAAATCATTTTTATTTCTTTCAAATTTTTATTTAATTATAGTAGTAAATATTGAGAGAAATATAAAAAAGCAAAATTTTCAATTTTGTGGCATTTTTTGAATACAAACGCCACAAATTATAGAAATTAGTGGCGTTTGTATCTAAAAACTCACTAATTTGCACATTTAGCGGTGTTTGTATCCAAAAAAGGGCATTTTCGGACATAAATACACTAATTTCTATAATTTAGGAGTGTTTGTCTGCATAAACAACACTAAATTTAGTGGTGTACACAAATGCCGCTAAGTTAGCAATGTTTTAAGGGAAAATGCTGCTATTTTCTCTAATGCAAATATAGTCAATACTTTAAGTGACATTTTTGACAAACACCATGAATTGTTTAGCAGCATTTATAAACGCTGCTAAAAATAGAAAA